TTCAATTGCGAGTGATTGCACAAGCTGCAAATTGGAGGCAAACGTAAGAAGTGAGATCAAAGATGTGCTACGCTCCTCAATTGAAAGTGTTAAACTTCTGGAGATATTAGCTATAGCCTATTTCATATTATGATATTATATATCGATAATCTTTTTATTAAATCTCTAACTGTATTCGAATACTCGGATAATATTGATCTGTGTAGACATGACGAATGCCATGTGATTTTCGTATTTGAACAAAATAATACACGTAGTTTGCCGTACTTGAGTTATGTTGACGAAATTTCTGATTTTTAATAACGCCGCAAGGATCTATTTTCTTCAATTAAAATAAAATACTGTTTTATACACAATCGAAATAATATATTAAAAGATATCAATACCATCTTTCTACGTGTATTTTTTTCATTATAATTGACCTATAGCAATGATCTGTTATGTTTACTGTGATAATGATAAAAACATTTGGTTCTGTATATTGTATTCTTAAAATTGTATGATTATTATATATATATTTTTTAATAAACATTCTCTATCTCTCTTTTGCATGTGGGATATATTACCTAGAAAATTTCCACTTCTCTAATCACAATATTACGATACTAAAAATTTTGATATCTACACAGTTAGAAATTTTATCTTTTCAGTAACATTCTAGATTATCGTAGATACGAAAATTTTTAGTTTGAGACAGAAATACTATTCTATCGTTACTACTTAATTCAAACGAAGTTTGTTTTTTCTTAGAATAATGCAGAAGTCTTACGAAACGCACATAAGGAATGAAACATCGCAATGACTGGACAACGAGGAGTACGATTGAACATTCACGTTGTCGATGGATTTATTGTTAGATTACGTATAAGTTATGCAAAATGACGAATATTACCGACTATTGCTGAAGTCATAAATTGTTTTCCGAAACGAAAAACGGTTTTTGAAGTTAAAATAATAATTCATCGTCCAGCAATCGGTGTCTATTACTTAATTTAGAAGGGTCTAGTGTTCACTCATCGTTTGATCATCACGTGTTCAATCACGCAGTAATCCAAGTGTGTACAATTTATATTTGGAATAAAAATTATCTTCTCCATGTCTATTTTTAAATGACGAGATAAAGTATGATGAAAACTTTATTCACACTTGACGCGATTCTAGCTGGTATTTCGCCGCGCTTTTCCTCCGACAGTTTTCTCATGTTCGTTCGTTGCATTTACAATGAAACAGATATATCTATCTGGAGACACTGGTAGTGTCTCGGCGCTAAGCCAAGCGCAGCGTATACAAAACTTGAATAAACAAGAAGGAAAGTTTTAGTGCAACGATAAAAAAGAAAATGAACTTAAAGATTCATTATATATAGAGACTTGCTATATTATTCAGATTAGCTATAGCCTTAGAGTGTGCGCGCGCGTGTGTGTACACACACTATCTACATGATTATACCGTAATGAGATGGTTTTCCATCGTAATTTATTTTCAATCTTCTAGTATATGTTTAAACAACAAAATGACAATAACAGTCGATGAGAATATGTAATTTTGGCACATATTTATCGGCGTACGCACGAATTGTTCGGACAAAAGTAACTGTATGAAGGAGAATAAAGATTCAAATCACATAGATTATTTTAAATAAGAATCAGTGATCAATATATAATATCAAGTTAGTTGTTACAAGACAAAAGTAAAACAGTCATTGATTCTAAAAATTATATATCAAGAACAAATACATAAATAATAAGTCATATATATATATATATGTATGTATTTAAAAGGTGAAAGTCATACGTTAAAATATAAATTAAGATAGGATAACAATTCGTAAACTATTTAAAATTGAAAAATAAGCATAATGCAAATATATAATATATTTGTATTGTTTTATTCATGGAGATGTTTGTCCTCTCTTGGGATCATGCAGAAAATTGGACAAAGTTTGCGTGATGCGCACGGGGAAATAAACGTGGTTGCCGCGATAGCAATATGTGTGCACACTTGATATATAAGCTATTGTCGATGAATTTATTGTTGGATTACGTATGAATTGAAAAATAGTTTTTGAAGTTATAACAATTCGTTATTCAGCAGTCAATGTCATTTAGTCTGGAAGTGCCATACACGGCTCATGCTTTTTGATCATCAACCACTCAGTATAATCTAACTACGCACAATTTATATTTAAAATACAAATTATCTTCACTACGTTATCTTTGAAATGATGAGACAATTAAGTATGAAGGAAGTTTTGATCATGTTCGGAGCGATTCTAGCTGGTGAGTTGACATCTTGCCGCCCTTTTCATATCTGCTTTTTCTCTCTAATAATTTTCACGTATATATTCTTTGTACTCAAAATAAAATATAATGTTTAGTAAATTTAAAAGTTGCTTGCAATTAAACTAAATGTCACTCGCAAGTAAAATTAAATTTGCAAAGTTTCAAATATCGGAATATTTATTGCAAAATTAAGGTATAAATATTACAAATATTACATGCGCTTAACTGTCAAGTAAAAAAATTTTCCAAAAAGAAGCTCGCATCAGAGAAAGATTATATAGCTAAGTGATAAATAACAGAAATAATGATTAATGACATAAGAATAACTTATTTTCAATAAACATCAAGTTGTTACATGTAACGTACCTGTTAGTAATAGGTAATTTTCTACTCAATAATATAACTATATAATATACGTGTTATATTACAATTATATTATTGAATGAAAAATTACAACTAACAAGTTATGTTATATTATGTAACTTGATGTTTTATAGAGTTAGAATATATGCAGTATGTACCTGATGGCTATAGTTAATCTGATTATATAATATATATATGAAAAATATCCTTAATATAATATAAATTTATTTTTTAATTTATTTTTTATTATTGTACTGGGTTGTATTAAAACTTCCTTCCTTGGCAAATTTAGACTGTACATATAGACGCGCAGTTAGCACGCACTATTTGGTTTTTTATTTTTTACTTTTTATTATATTTACTGAAATGCTTGAATACTTAAAAAAAATTTTTAATATCTCTAAAATAAATTTTTTTAATTATTTCAGTAATCATTGAAGTACCTGGACAACCATTACAACCTGTTAATATTGAACCTGGTGATGTTTGTATAATTTGTAAAATTGTATTGCAAATTATGGATAAAACTATCAGTATAGATGACGACACGCGAGAGGCAATCGCAAAGGCTGCACATAGGGCGTGCAATTGTTTTCCACAAATAGTTGCCACGGAATGCAATTATTTTGAGAATAAATATGGTGATTCTATAATAAATCTTCTCTCAAAAGGTGTCAATTCTAAAGAGATATGTACTCGGTTAGGTCTTTGCAAAGAGAGCATATTATAAATCTAAGATATAAATTACAAGAAATACAACTTTTGTTATTATTATATTATTTAAAAACATAAATTGTCTGCGCTTGAAATATAGCAACTTATTTTATTTTAATTAATGTTAAATAGAAATGTTAACATTAAATAAAAAATATATGTTTAGAAAACTGTCAATGTTTTATATGAAAAGATTTATTTAAAAAAACGTTTAATATACGCTATAAACGTCTTATGAATATTTTTATATAACATTTATTGTATATAGCTTTAAAAGCGTATTAAATTTTTAACATTTATATTTTAGTTTATTATATGATTTTTAACATTTATGAAATGTAATGTTGATCGAGTATTTTATATAATCTAAACGATATATGAATCTGAATTCCGTCTCTCTATTTATATTTTTTCTATATATATTTAACTTACAGCAATAATAATTGTTATTTTTAATTATAATAATTGCAAAATAAAAAAAATAAAATATTTGATTCCGAATTTATGAGTTGTATTTCTAAAAATGTATGATTTATAGTTATATTTTTTGAATAAAATATTCTCTCTCTCTCTCTCTCTCTCTCTCTTTCTCTCTACGCACGAGATATTTTGTTTGGAATATTTCCTTTTTTCAATCACAATAACGATAGTCTAGAAGATTATATATATATATTTTTTTTTAAAAAAGCAATAACTATATGGCGCCGCATAAAAATTTTCAGTTCATTATAGATACAATTCTATCGGTACTGTTTTATTTATACAAACATAAAATGTTTGAAAAGACTTCCTTCATTTAGAAAATTGGACAAAGTAGCCTTGCGTGATGCACATGGGAAATGAAAACACGTGGTTGCTGTAATCACTCAGTAATGTGTGCTAGTGATGCATTCGAGTAAGACGAGACGAGAAAATACCGATATCGAAATATGGGGTGCTTTGTTACTCTCTGAATGTTAAGAAGGATAGAACGACGCTTGTGTCGACTTGTGTCATCAAATGGAAAGCATTCTTGGTCTCGACAAAAACAAATAATTGATACGATTTTCTCGTCTAAATGGGGGTCGATATTCTCGCTTTTCGAGATTTTCGAATTTTATCGCGAGACATTCAAGAATATCGACTATCTCGTTTTATTTTCGTTTGTAAAAGGCGAAAATGGAATTCGCAATTTGCAAATTGTGTACGTTAGACAAATGACGGTGGTAATTTATTTCTTATTCCGATATTTCTCCGATTTTTTCGAGACGAGACCGAGACGAGAAAAACAAATGATGTATGATAATCTCGGAAATGATATTTTTAATGATACGAGAAAAATTTCGAGACGATATTCAGAGATTCTCGTATCGAAATGCATCACTAATGTGTGCGCACACTTGATCGTGTACGTCGATTTATTATTGGACTACATGTGAGTTGCGTGAAAAGACGAATACTACCGATTATTGCCGAAGTCATGAATTGTTTTCCGAAACAGTTTTTGAAGTTACGATTCGTGGTCCAACAGTCGATTAGTCTGGAAGTGTCGTTCATGACTTTACGCTAATTGATCGTCGTGCGCTCAATTACGTCGGAACTCAATTGTGCACAATTTGTACGCGAAATTCAAATTGTCTTTGCTACATCAACTTCGAAATGATGACGAAAAGCATGAAAGAAATTTTGATTGTGCTCAGTGCGATTCTAGCTGGTGAGTTAACATCTCGCTTTTCCCCTATCCGTTTTACTACCTATCTAACAATTTTTTCATATATGTGCATTCCTTGTACTTAAAATGAAATATAGTTTAAATTTGCCGAAAACAAAAAGGAAAGTTTTTTAGAGCATTCCAATATAGCAATAAAAATATACTTATAAAGATAAATTACGTATATTGAGGATATTTTATTTAAATTATCTATTAACTTTTCAGTATATATACATATTCTAAGTTGTCTTACGTTATAATTCTGTTTCTTTTTGGCTGCGTTTCGAGAGCGCGCTTTCATTGCAGCACTATCAGTGCATTCTATCTTTGTATTTACGTCTAACGGTAGAATGATACGTTGAAAGCATTCTTCCAGAACGCAGCCTTTGTCACATCATGATAATCTCACTCTGATGCGCACTTCTTTCTAGAATACTTTCTTTTGTTTGGCAGTTACGCGCATGTAATATTTGTACCTTTGTAAATATTGCGACATTTAAAATCTCTATTTGCAAGCAATGTTTAATTTTATTTGCGGGCCACATTTAGGCCAGCATTTATAGTCGATTTTTATATATAAAATTATCTTAAATACAATATCTTAAGATGTTATAAATCATTACAGAGTTGTGTATATTATCTGTGTGTAGTATCTTAAGATATTATTTAAGACGATTAAAATAAGAATTGTCTATGATTACTGACCTTACCTTTTATTATTTATAACCAAAGTTTAGTTTTATCTACAAGCCTTTTAATTTTATTTGGATGCAGTATTTAATTTCCAGTACGTATAATGGCTTTAGATTTCATCGTTTTTTTTCACTTCTCTATTATGAAATCCTTTCAATCTTTCTTTCTCACGAGCTTTTTTTCCTTTTTTGTTATTGCTGTCTTTCTGTTTCGCTTCTTGTCCTTACATCTTGTTTATTTTTATTCTCATAGTAAAAGTACTGTATGTACTGAAAATACTGTTTAAACAGATCTGTTGATTTGAACTTGTAATTTATTTAGATAGAATGTACGATTGTCGTTGAAATATTGTAATGTTATAATAACGGTAATATTGTAGCTTATACTTATGATATGCTAATATCTTTAATGTAAATCATGTTGGTTTGTCTTCATTTAACAATCCGCTGTTTTATTGTTCATGTACGGCAAATTACATGAACAATAAAACAGCGGATTGTTAAATGAAGACAAACCAACATGATTTACATTAAAAATTATTCACCTTTAGTACACGAAGCAGATCGGTAAACACTCAATGATTCTTTATTTGCATAATTGATTCTTACGCTTAAACCCAACAAAAACTAAAGGCAAAGTCTAATTATATTAAAGAATCATTAAACGTTCTGAAGAAATACTGAATTCTGTTTTGTCTGCTGAACGTGCTTTGTTAACATTAAGATTATTATTTTGAAAATAATCTTTTTAACTCTAGATTTTTATAATGGCTAATTTATAAGACTGAAAATTACATGAATGTAATTCTTTAATTTTCAGTAGCCACAGCTAAAGTGATCACAACTGATCCCAAAGTGAGTGTGATGGAAGAAGAACTTCGAAAAGAGATTTCACTAAAAAAACATTCATCATCATTGCAAGTTAGAACGATGCAACTGCCACTTGAATTACCGCCTTATCCTACGCAATCCGAAAATACTGATCGAACGCAAACGTGTAAATTGTGCGAATATTTATTGCTAGCATTTGTTTATTTTGGAGATAGTACAAATGCAAATGAGGTAATAAATATTAAATTTTATGATTCTGTGTATATAATATTATGTAAGCTTTATAAATATACCAAAATTTAAGGAACAAGTGAAAGAATTTCTTAGAAGAGTGTGTATAAAAGTACCTACTTCCGTAGAGATTAGAGATGATTGTCAAAGTGTTGTAAATATTTATGGAGGTGCAATTGTGACTACACTTGCTATGGATATGGATCCATCTCTGGTAATATATTTTTGTATTTAAAACAATGAATCAGTAAAGTATAATTTATTTAAGGTTTGTAATTTAAGGTTTGTTCTATGATACGTGTTTGTCCATCGGAATCATTAGTAAATATGTGGGAAGATATTCCTAAGAATTTCATCAGCACCGAAAAAAATAAGCCGAATTGTCCATTCTGTTTGCTTGCAGTATCGGAGATTTGTAATGTTATTAAAAGCAATAAAACTGAGGTATTAGTCTACTGTTTATTATATTAACAATATTTATGTTAAATTTGATTATTCAATCTATTTTATCGATATAATAATGTTGATGTTTCAGACTACCATTAAAATTGAATTGGATAAATTATGTAATCGTATGTCACGTACTTCGAACACTGTATGCACAAATTTTGTGCAGACATATGGCATAGAACTCATAGAGTTACTACTTCTAGACTCGTCTATCGAGAGTGTATGCAATTATCTTAGTTTGTGTGTTCCTGAAATGTAACTATTATTGCAAAAGGTAGAGAGATATGTGAATTATTTCTTAGAATATACACAGGATAAAAATGTTTCAATTTTAACAATTTATCACAATTATTTTTCAATAAAAATGCTTTTTGCGATAAAAGTGTTTTATGATAAAAATAAAAGAAATTTCTTTTTCAGTACTTAATAAATGAAACACATTTCAGTATGATCGCAATGAAATACCTGAGTACTCATTACATATAAGTCAATCCATGAAAGTAAATTCATGAACGAGTTACATAAGTTCGTGTAATACAAACTGCAAATTGAAAGCGAATCTAAGAAAGCGAGAACAAAGAGAACGATGTGCTATGTTTCTTAATTGGAAATATCAGATCTGTGGAGATATTAGCCATAGCGAAGAGCCTATTTTATATTGTTAGTATATATCAATCTGTTATCAAGCATACATTGATCTGTATAGACTTGACTGCCATTGAGAATTTATACTTAAACAAAATATTATATGTGTTAATATTTCATATAATATTAGAAAATATAAATATACAAACATGTGTATATTATGTATATGTATTGTATATATTCCTATTTTGTACCAATTTATAAAATATTTAATCCAGAGAAGTATTAGGAAGGGGATTTGTATTTATTTCAATAATTTTATTTTAACAAAAATCTAATTATTTCGATAATATATGTATATTTCTATATATGTATATGTGAAACTATTATCATTTTTTATTATATTCTAATTTTATATGTTATTTACAGTTTACTTTGATTTTTCGCTTTTTATATTTCCACAGAAAAGGAGGAATTTAACTTTAGTATCTTTTTATATTTAAATATTTCTTTATTTTTAATATATTGAAAATAAACAATAGTTTTCTATAATAATAAGATTTAATTTCGAATTTTTATTTTGTATTAAAATTATTTTTATTAAATAAACATTAATAAATTTTATTTCCTGTTTTTTTTTTATCTATTTTCGTACCTGCACGGGTACAACTTTAAACATAGTAGCGTACACAGAAAGAACGGTTTTGATGAAATATCTAAAAATTAAGCTAAATAAATAAAAGGACGCTCAAGCTGGTTGCTAAAATATTAAAATTTTGTATAGCCTTGCTTTTTTACAGTCTATATTATGTTTAAATTTTCTATATAATTATTTTGATGATTCAACGTAATTATTTTCAAATCTGTATCTATCTAAATTTGTAGATATTTAGATATTTCAGCAAAATTTTTAAAACGCAAATTTTTTCTGTATCAAAGTCACAAACAATAAAAAGGACTCCAAGATTAAATATTTGTCACACTGTTTTATAATTTTTTCATTTTAAGGCAATGAATCCATGAAATTTCGTATATTCACTCGTGATACGATTGTAACAATGTCGATATATAAATATATATTTGACACAATTTTTAAGATTGATTACCTCATTAATAAAATATTTTATCACTCACCGACCGATGCGTACTAAGTAGTCTTTCCTCTATGTTTCCTCTTCCTTTCAGATTTAAAAATTTCTTCCTTTACCTCCTCACAACACTAATCTGTAATACATACAAATATATTCAAATAAAAATGATGTCTAAAATAAATATATTGAAGAATAATTTTATTGAAGTTTACCGTACGTAAGTAATTTTATTTGTGATTTGAAATCAGTCTTTTTAATACAAAATTTAGTTAAAAAATGAATTTTATATTAATTATAAATATCTTAAATATTTTGAAATATTTATATATATAATATTTGTTCACAATTATAAGCATTTTACTAAATATTTTTTAAAATCTTAAAAAAATAATACAAAATATCTTATTTATTTGATAGTATATTACATGCAGTACGCAATTACATAAATCTAAAATACTGTGCTACACATATAAATAATTACTTTCACCTATAATAAATAACAAAATTAATTAATTATGAAATGCTTACCTCGTGATTCTTCGCGCCCTCGTCCCTGTCATCGCCCCGGTTTTTATTTCATTTGTTCTTTTATGTATTGCTATTTCTCCGTGCTACAATATCTGTTTGCAAAAACAAATAAATTACTAATTACAATTAACTGTGATTAAAATTTACTAGAATAACAATTGCGCGTCTTTATCATACTTTATTCAACGGTCTCGATATTAATCACACTTAACGCGTATTTGATCATATTTATACGATAGTGAAAAAATCAGAGCATACGAAATTACGACACGTTTGATATCCGCGATATTTCATAAATAAAACGCATTGGGTTGCATTTAATTGTACTAGTAAGATGATAAAGAGACTCGTTCTCTACGCGATCAATTTCACGCGATTCGACGACACGGTGGTAACGCGTCGTCGCGGTGATGTTACATGTTTTTGTTTTCAACCGAACAAGTACTGCGAAATGCGCGTTCGATCGAATTATCAGCGCACGATTATCGAAATCTATTATGCAATATTTCAGTGAAAGAATAAAAAAATTACTAAATAAATGCGAATTTCACGTACTTATTAAATCAGTAACGACGCCTGCAAATGAAACGTGAACGCGTTAGAGGCTCCGCACAATAAAAGGAACAGGGAACAGAGAACAGAGAATAAGAATTTCAACCTATCAACCTAGAAACTGTGTATTCTACAATACATGATTTCTATTAGATTGAAAATCTTATTCTCTTTTCCCTATTTCTTTTATTGTGCGGAGCCCCTTAGGGTAGCGAGAAAGCTTCATTTTCGGCGCGGACCGCGAACGATTTCACGCACCAAAAGTGACGCGGAGCGACGACGACGCTACGCGTCCCACTCTTAACTTCGTGTTTATACATTTTCTGCATTTCGAACTATAAATAGTCAAAGACATAGAGAATGGACTGCGCAATCCCTATCTAAGTAATGTATCAAATGTGGTCGACAATAATGAGAGAGAGGGACCGTGGGAGATAGCCAATCTCCCTCTCATTCTCTCTCCCATTACATTGAATGGAAAGAGATAGAAATGGCCGTCTGCCACGGTCCCTCTCTCTCATCCCTGTCGACATTTTGACACACGGATCGCGCAGTCCATTCTCTATGCCTTTGTAAATAGTATACACGCATTACATTGTAACAGAATAGGCGTATTGATACCATAACTATATGTATATTCGCGGCATTCGTAATAAGTTGCTTTGTCAATTATTCACGCAATACACCTTTAGTCGAACAAATATTGAGATACGCGTTTTAACTAATTATTAGTAATATACGAGTGCATCAAATTGATGTTTCGCGTAAATTGAATATTGCAAATGAAGAAAGTACAATGATAATAAAAGTTGTTTTTTATCAATTAAACTACACACTGAAAGTATTTTTCTCAATATTCGTTCGGTCGAATTAAAAGTAATACGCCGCGTTAATTTTAATGATGCATGAAGTCAACGGCGCGCGAAAAACGACGCCGCATCGCCATCTTAATGAAATCGCGGTGGAGACGGGATCCATGGACGACGAGCATGTATGCTATCGAAGCGACAGTTTAAAAGCAGCTTAAAAGCGAGCGGTTTTTAAATATTTCTCGCGTTGCGCGTGAAAATATTAATAATTTGATAATATTTATTAGTTACCTCATTAGTATAATTCGAACGATCCTTTCGAGCCGTTTCCCGTCGTTTTATTCTTTACAATAAGGATTGGGATATTTCTGGAGAGCAGGATATTTCTGAAGGAAAGGGTCCATAATTGATTCGAAGCCAGGGGTGCGAACTATTCCAACGTAATATTACAGAACGTACTCCTGCCCCCTGGTCGAGTCGTAGAAACGCGAGAGTGCGAATTACGTGCTATTTATATGCGCCGTTAGACCGCGAACCCCACCACTCGCATGCCAGCCAATGAGCGGTAGCGAATCGCTGCAGCACGTATTCGAACGCTCATTGGATCGGCGCTAGCTTTCGATTGAAGTATATAAGCGCGATGCACGAAAAAGTGCAGTCTTTTTCGGAATTTGGCACCGCGCGTTTCGCGAAGATAAGCCTGGGTACCTATCATAGAACAAGTCGGAATCGATTCCGATCGGAATTATTAAATTATTCCCTAGATTTTTATTGTGTTTTCTAGGGAAAACGGGATAATTCCGATCGGAATCGATTCCGATATATTTCATGATAGGTACCCTGTATATATTCAGAATTCAGATTGCGCTTTTAGTGCTTTAACGATATTAGCGCGTATTTAGCACAGTTCGCGTTATATATACTCTTAATTTAAATTTCAAATATAAAAGCGTATATTCTGAATACGGGCTATAGATATTCTTCAAATTAAGATATTAATAGCAATATGACTTATTCAATTTTAGTTTTATTAAATATTAAATACATCATGTGTGTGGATATAATAAATTTTATTATACCCATGATGTATTTAATATTTAATAGAACTAAAAGTGAATAAGTCATATTGCTATTAATATCTTAATTTGAAGAATATATTGTTACAGAACTTTATAAATAATGACCCGTATTCAGAACGTGCTTTTATCGACAAAAGCGTGCTTTTATCTCTGAAATTCTATAATATGCGTAACGTAAAATATAGTATGTTAGGGCGCTAACATCGTTGTAAGCACGTTCTGAATATGGGCCTACATGTATATTTTTATATTTTAATAAAATGGTCAAATGATCCACAAATTATATATTATATTATATTTTTTAAAGCAATTTAATACGTGATTTAACATGCGACAGAAAGAAACTAGAAAGAGGTCATGCCGATCTTTTTCCTGTTCGAAATCGTCCATACACTACCGCCATTGGTGGTCGCCCATAATTCTTTGTGCTATGATTTTATCGACAGGGTCAGAAAATGGATGTAGCACGTAGTTCCCAAACCGAAAATGGATGTACTGGCGATAGTGTACGGGCGACTTCGGCGGTAACAGGAAAAAGGCTGGTATGGTTTTTGTGTTTCTCTCTGCTCCTGTTGCATGATCCGAGCGATCAAACGGCACGATTGGACTGGGCACGACCGCCATATTAGTAAATCGAGCTAAGTTAGCGTCCGTGTATGATTTTTAGCAAGGTAATCATTCATGGAAAATCGCTTGTATCGCTCCTTCACGTCGTTGTTCGTCAATGATCATCATGGATGTGATTTAACCTATTTGTTTTTCGTTACAGAGGACAAGCTGTCAACTGGTGTCTTGCCAATTTAACGCACCTCGCTTCGCCGAGATCCGGATTCCTGCTACTCGTTGCCAAGATGATGTACACAGTAAGGGGCCGCGTCATCGACGCGTTATTTTCTGACCTAATTTTCGAACTCGCTTTCAGCGAAAATGCTAAAGATGTTTCGCAATTTTCATTTTAGCGATTAAGACTGATTAACTCATCGTTTAATCAATCCAA